GTTTTCGATTCAGGCATCTTCGTGACGATTTGATTGATCCTAAAGCTTCCTGGAACGTCCCTTGATGAATCTACATCAGCCGATTTGATCGAATCGTCCTGGAACTCTCCAACACATTCGGGCGTTATTTCATTGTTCTTGAGCGTTTCCAGAGGCATTGAAACTCGATTTTGATCTTGCAAATAAAAAGGATTCATTTCCATTTTGTCTATGGGAGAGCTTCCAGAGGTGTAATGGAATGTGTTGATATCCTTGGATTGGGTCGGATTGCTCTTCCGAGCTCCACCCGATAGAACCTCTCTCATGCTCTGCTTTGCGGAGAAGAGGGAATCCTCTGTTCGTGTCACTGGAACGACTCGAGCGTCGTCAGTCTGATCCGGGACTTCTCGTTTTACAGTCATTCCTTAAACCTCCATGGAGTTTTATGGAGACTCTTCGTGCTCCGATTCTCCCGCTTCATCATCGGCAAAGTTGCCGAATTTGGAACTCTATTTCGGCGAAGCAAAACAGGGGTCGTGACTGTCGTCGGATTCCAGCAATGGATTTGCCCTTGGGAGCTTCCGAAAGCTCATAAAATTGAAGCCCACTCTTCTCTGAAGCCATAGCTTAGCTCGAGATTCTGTCCCCATGTTTGAGTCTCCTCCATCTGCTTCTGATGGCTGTAAACATCATCCGGAGAAAGAGGTTTCAGAACGAACGTCTTTCCTTGATGCTTGACCTTGTATTGATTGGTTCGACCATCATGGGCAACTTCTCGATCGAATTGCCAAGGTCTTCCCACCATCATGTGGACACAATTCATCGGCACAACGTCATAAACTACCTCGTCTTCCTAACTGCCGAGTTGAAAACGAACCAAAGCTTGTTTCGTTACATTGATCGTACCATGTTCATTGATCCAGCTGAGTTGGTAAGGCTCAGGATGCCTTTACGTCGTCAATCCGAGTTTTTGGACGACGTCTAGGCTGATGATGTTTGCACAGCAGCCTCCATTGATCACGAACGAAATTAATTTGCCTTCGACAAAGCATCGGCTGTGAAATAGATTATCACGCTGCTCGTCGGATTCTCGATGCTTAAAAACGATTGCTGGCCGCTTCTCTTTGCCATAATTTGGCAACTTCTTTGCCTCTCTACGACCTTCTTCCATCTCCCTTAGTTCTATTGAATTTTCCCTCGAAATTCAATTACAAAACAGCAGCTGCAGTGTACGTACAGGGGCTGCCCTGTTTTGAACTTCAAATTCTGATTTGTACCGAAATAGTCGATTTCTTCTTCTCCTTCGCCCTTGTGTAGAACCGGGCTCTGATACCACTTAATACGCCCCTGGGGGTGTATATTATCAAAGTCACGCAGCTAACGACTCAATCGAAGAATCGATTGAGCTCGAATCAAGAACGAAGCGTTCTTAATACGAACTTGAATAAAACGGAACCAAAAGGACAAATCCACACCCGGGGATAGCTCGATTGGTATAAAAGGGTAGTTGCTCGACCACGATTGAAGTGACTATTCAATCGATACACAAACTCAGCAAGTTTGGAATCCACCAAACCCAAAACAAGTCGCAACTTGCACAAACCAAACGGTTTCGATTTCTATTCAACAAAGTCTTAGTTTTACAACGAAATAGAAAGTTTAAATAGGCCTAGCTAGGGTTACACACGTCCCATAAACTCCTAATTACAGTCTAATACGAAAAGGAATAAAAAACTACCAAAACAATGAAATCCTAACTAAACAAGAAAAAGAAAATCTGTCTTTAGCTCCAGGTAACCAAACAGCTTTGATGCCATCTTTGAGCCTCTCGATCAAAGCCTTCCAGGTAATCTTCCAATCATCCAATGCCATGTCTTTGTAGTAGAATATACCCACTTTCATGTGGTATAAGCCTCTGGACTCGAATCTCATCCATGCTTCTGGAATGGAGCTCCAAAGTAGACTTCTTGAACACAGTTTCTGCCTTAACCAAATTCTGGCAGTTTTCCAGTTTTGAGGTAGCAACTTGGAGACCTTGGAAAACAACCTTAATGACATCATCTGGATCCAAAAATCATACCATTGGAAACATGACAACTTTATCTGCAAAACAAACCCTTAACATTGAATTTCCACCAAGCCAATTGAGAGAACCATCCCTCCAAAGTATGTACCCTGAACAGGGATTTTGACTTAACCAAATTCTGTCCTTCTTCCCAATTTCAATAGCTTCTTCGTCAAGTAATTTAAACATGTATATTTCACCATTTGGGATCATATCATCTCCCAAACAATGATCACCTGTTACCGGTGATTCCCTCTCGTATCTCTGGCGCCGCCACCATCCCTCGCCTAACCTCTCTCCGTCTATATTTCTTCCATTGGTGCACTGAAACACGCTCAAACAAACAGAGTATGAGGAATAATTTTTTATCCCACGCCTAGATAATTGTTGTGCAGTTTGTAATTTAGATTTACGTTAATCCTAGCTAGCTTGTAATTATCCTAATTACTTGTAGATCATTCCCTGTACAAAATATAAGCTATATAAACTCATTCAGTGGATTGAATAAACTGTCGCATTCATTCATATACAGAGCACTCTGTTCCTTCGATTAGCCTTTCGCACTTTCTTGAACTTGCAGACGACGATTGAATTGATCACCGATTGTGGCTATCTGACGGTGGCAATATGCAAAGTGGTGGTGGACATGATTTCGACCAAGATATAAGTGCGGCTGCTCGTCGGATTTGAGATGAGCATCGATGTCCGTCTCCACTGGATCTGTTCCCGGAGTACACTTGGCGTCTTGACCCCACCGCTCCGAGAAAGACTTGCAAAGATTACGCAGTAGCTGCAAGCAGCGGCTAGGATTGAGACAATGATGATGACGGGAGGGGAAATTCCATGGTCGGCTGGCTGCGTCGCCGGAGGAAAGGATGTAGATGAAGCGGAGGAAGCGAGGAGGTCAGAGGAGTACGGTTTTTTTGTTTTTATAATTTTTACCTTTCCTTTTATATTTTTTGATATTTTTTATTATAAAATAATAATATTTTATTTCCTATTAACGGTAGGTGGACGGAACTTTTTACGGATGCACAATTCGATGACGTTAGTGGTACCCGACGCCCTATTCTTATTTAAGTGGTATGGCTCTTCCAATTTTCATACTTTAGTGATACCCGATGTATTTTACCTTGAGAAGAACCCTAAAAATGAACAAGGAACTAACTCTTAATTCTACTTCTACGGACAATGGATTGGAAGCAATAACGGAATTGAAAATTGCATCCTCGGAAGGGGATTCATAACGGTTAAAGCTAAATCTTGAAATCTCTGACGAGAAACAAAAGGGTTTAGGATAGGTTCAGTAACCAATGTTTACTGACCTATGACTATGAGCTTAGTTAGTAAAATACGGTACAGGAAAGTTACGTATAAAATACGTACAGGTATTTTACTTTGTCTCTGAGCTAATGTTACGTTTAATAGTACGTAAATAATCGTAAATATATAAAAATTAATTATTTTAAAAATAAATAAATATATAAATAATACTAAAGTTAACAATTTAATTCATTAAATACGGATATTAAACGTGATATACGGGTTTTATACGTGTTTAGTACGGGAGCCATCAAATGAACGAGGGAAAATGAAACGGCTTGACAATAATACGTGTACAGAAGTTTTAAACGGATAAAATACGTACGGGTACATATACATGTATTAAACAGAGTATTTACTAACTATACCTATGAGTAACTAAATCTGGACCTTTAGATCTAAGTGGGCCCAAAAAATTCAGATCTAAGGGTTGTCAATTAACGACATTTTATTTTCTCTAGTTTTCATAATCGGCTCTTATCTTCTTCGTTCTAATTCGTATTTCAATTTTTTTGCACACATGGAACGAGTTCGTTGTGCTCTACAAAATGATATCAATTTTCAATATATTTCGAGAAACTTTTTTTTACCAACTACTTACCATATGGTAACTTCTTCGTTTTTAATTCGTTTTTGAAAACGCTTGCTCAGAAGGAACGAGTTCATCATGATCTAATGTATCTAAAAATTTCTGGGTGAAAAAAATACTGGACCAAAAATTATCATACTTTACCACTATGGTATGTGGGTGGTAACTTGTGGTAAACAATGATGAAAGTCGCAAATGACAGTTAGTATACTCCTACTATCATGTATTCAACCTTCTTACCATATTGGAATGTTCATACCATCATGGTACGTTTTCTTACCATATGGTATTAAATATGAGTATACCATATGGTAATGACTGGTAAAAAATTATTCAATTTTTTTGTACTGAAAATATATCAAAGTGGATATCATTTTAAAGAGCACATTTAATCTAATTGATCTGTGCAAAAAAAAAAAATTCGACTTAAAACGAGAGAGAAATCGTCCGTTAAAGATTAAAGAGAAAAAGATAAAAGACTTTACATGAGAGAGAGATATATTGATGTCATGCAGATGTGGACGAGTTACTCATGGTTACTGACCATAAAGTTACTGACCTCATCTGTTTCCAAACAAAAGAGGATAGGGTGATCGACGAAGGAAATGGAGCGAGCAATGCAGAGTCTGAGAAAGGAAAGCAAGATTCGAGACTTTTTCCCTACCTCGCAAATAAGGTTAATCTTCTAAAATTTTCAACTCATTATCATATTCATAAAATAAATATTAAAAAAAAAACTTATGTCTTCTAAGTTCTAATTAGAGGTGGTAAACGATAATCCGGTAAACGATTTACCGTTTTACCGTCCATTTTACCGAACCGGTAACCGGCGGTAAACGGTAAACCGTTTACCGGTAGTATCGGCAGCCGAGCGAGAAGTTGGGGGAGTCGGTTTACCGGACACGGTATCGGTAAATACCGACGATAAATCGGTAATACCGATACCGAAATCCCCCCTCCCTACTCCACTAACATATAACATATACATCATTATTCACAAATATAAAATATTACATACATGAATGTAAGTATAGGCATAAAAAATATTGTAAATAAGAGTTAATAATAAATTATTAATTAAAAAATGATGAAAAAACTCAAAAAAATCAAAATATTACAACATCACAGCATCACCCCACTTCCAGAAATTCGGTTCGATAAATATTCGGTAAACCGACAAAAAAACCGCCCGAAATCGCTTCTCACGGTATTTCGGTAATACCGGTTTGTAACCATTTACCGGTAATCGATAAACCGGTTACAAACCGGTATCGATAATCGGTAACAATTTGACCAACTTCGGTATACGGAAACCGGTAAATTCGGTAAACAATTTACCGTTTACCGACCGAATCCCACCCCACCAAACTATAGGGGAATCAAGGCTATGTCTTGCATCTCCTATCAAAATTAAAAAGGAAGGCTGTGTGTTACATCGTTGGAGCCCGAGCTCTAGTACGAGCTTGTTGAGGAGAAAAGAATGACCTGTGGCGCCCAAGCCTCATCGGCGACGACTGGACTAGAGGTCCGGCAAGGCGGAAACTGAGAGGGATCAAAGATATTGGCCAAAGGCGAAGATTCTGAGTCCGCTACCGAACAATAGGCAGGAATTGAGGAGACTTCAGCTATTGCTGGGATTAATCTCCACCAAATGTCCTTCATTGTCTCGGCATATTGGATATAGCCCGCAGCTCTTCACAACCAAGCATGGACTACACGTCACGACAACTGCCTCAACGGGACTCCACGATTCCCGCCTCCGGACCGTCTTGAACAGAAGCGCTGGAATGAAGCGCAACCACATGTGGTCCGACTCAACCTTCGTACCGCTACTCAGTTCAAACCCAACTTCAGATATCACAGTCCGCCCATTGCTTCGACAGTGGAACTCAAGCCTCAGGTCAGCCGGAGCAATGGACTCTTCTCCTCTCACTTCAAAAGTGGCCCACAGCGCTAACCCTTTTAGTGTGTCGTTGTACCAATCCGGCGGCAGCATCACAGCTGCTATACTAGAATTCATATGCTGATAAGGAAGCCACTCCGGTGTGATCTCGCTACCTGGAATGATGATAGACAACTCGGCAACGGAGTGCGAAGGAGTCTGCAGGCACACACCAATACAGTTAGATGATGAAATAAGGGTTGCCCTTTCAAGGAACAGTATGATCTGAGAGTGAGAGTTAAGAAATTGAGACCTTCTCAACATGAACTTTCAGCAACTCAACTGCTATTTCACCCTTGGGGTGTGGACTATAACCTTCATCTACGAATCCCAGTTCCGAGCAATTCAAGAGGTTAAAGCCACGCATCCTCGCGGATTCAATACCTTTCGGGGGAACAATGAAGCGCAACGATGTACAGTTCGGTGCTTCCACACGGTATGTTGTGGACGGAAGACTTGGTATGAAACAAAGCTTCTTGCAATTTGCCAAGAGAAGAACTTCCAGATTCTTAGGGAGGCCGTCTACGTATAAGTTGGAGAAGAGATTTCCACTAAGATCCAGCGTCCTCAGGCAGACCAGACAACTGATATCATATAAGGGATCCGGCAAGTTGCAGTTGCTCAAATCCAGACTCGTCAAGGACGAAAACTCTGTAAATCCGAAACAGTCGGAGCTGAACGAGATAAATCTCATTAAGTAATGACTTCCAACGGTTTCAGAAAGATGATCCCGCCAAGCCTTCTGGATGGAAGATGGCGCCTTGTTCGAGCCGCGAAGCGTTAATACTTTCAGCTTCTTCAGCTGGCCACCTACTGCCAAATACCTCAACCTGAGAGCTGTTCCATCGGCATGAACTTCCTCCAAATTTTCCAGCTTGTTCAACTCAAACTGTAGAAGTTGGAGATTCGAGCAGCCGGAAAGGTGAAGAATTTTCAACGCACGACAGCGACCAACGGCCCCAGGAATGGATTCTAAGCGCTTACAACCTGCAACGCTCAACACAAGAAGCCCAGTGAGGTTTTGGATGGAACCTGGTATCTCTGCTATATCTGTGCCATCTAGAAGCAGCTCTGACAAGTTCCCCATATTGGCCCTCACCTCGGGGAGCTTCTTTAATTTTGAACATCCTGACAGTTCAAGAACCTCAAGAGATCTCATTCCAATACTGGGTGGCAGATACCGTAGACTTTTGCACCCTTTCATATTCAAATAAATTAGCTTTTCCAAACCACCAATAGAAGGATGAACTTCAATCAGCTTGATGCACCCTTCAAGAATTAGTATCTCCAGGTTTTGCATCAAAGAGAAATCCGGTGTATGAGTGAGCTCTTGAGAGTGGCTGAGTTTCATGAACTTCAACTTATCGAAAGCCTGCAGGAAACAGAAAGAATTGGTGATTGCACGTAAATCAACTGGTATATAGTACTATATGTTTCTACCCACATCAGAAGCCATACCTTTTTCGTTGTCCAGAAGTTCTTCAAGCCACTGCATGACAAGTTGAGTTCAACGAGGTTCCTGGGGTAGAAATTTGCAGGCAAAGACTGAAATGGATATCCAAGCCAATGAAGGCTCCTCAATTCATTGGACAGAGTTTTCAACTTCCCTGAATAATGCAGCTTAGGGTCTGTAGCCCCGGTATACCTCCTCCGTATACTGTTTAATGAATGACCATGCCACTCAAAGCTTTTCAATTCATGCGAGAGAGTTCTCAATTTACCCAAAATATGCAGCTTGGATCTTTCATTACTGGAGTTACCAATGTGAGGGTATGATTCTTTCCTGAAGACATACTCGGAACTTCCAGATTGGTGAAGATTACAGATCTTAAGCACTCTAAGTCTCTCCATCTCATGGAGAGCTTCTACTCCAATCTCCTCATTCACCTTGGAAGTATCAAGGACAACACCTTGAACATCTTTTGGCACCTATAACAAACAATAAAATGAAAATCAATTAGCTCAACAAATATTAAAGTTCTTGCCAAAAAGAAAGAAGCACGATTACAGAACAATTGGGATGGGTTACAATGTTCTATTTATTCCATTTCACAGCATATTGCTTACAGGTTTTTGCGCCAACAAGTTGCAAACATCCTGATGATTCCACAACCTGCAGCGCTCTTGTCGGGCGATTTCCCATCCCATCTGCTGTAACAAATCATGCATCAGGACCTTGTTATCTTGGATAATGATGAGAGATCTGTGAAGGAGGACTCTCAATCCATGAACTGCAGAGAAGCCGCAGGCTTCTAGTAAGCTCACAATGTAATCCTTATCTTCCCCTCTAAAAAAACAAGCAATGTCGAGAAATATGTTCTTCTCAGAATTATCAAGCACATCAAAGCTAAGTCTTAGGATCCTGACAACATTGCGAGGAGGAACATCTTCCAATGTGTTCAATTTACTTTCCCATTCACCTCGATCCATGTTGTACAATGACAATCCGAGGAGTTTGAGGGCTAAAGGCAGCCCCTGGGAGTATGTCACAACACGCTGCGACAATGCCTTGAAATCTTGAACCGGGGAGCCTTTCTTAAAAGCATTTTCGCAAAATAGCTGAAGAGATTCGACATCACTTAAAGGCTTGGCCTCATACTCTGCATCCACTTCATGCTGCTCCAGCAAGTGCTTGTCTTTAGTTGTTATGATGATTCTGCTCCCAGATCCAAACCAATCACGGTCCCCTACTAAGCTCATCAACTCATCTCTACTAGCAACATCATCAAGAACAATAAGGACACATTTAGTACGAAGCCTACCCTTCATTAGCACATCCAACTGCTGGTCCAAAATCCTCAGGCCATCTTCCACTATCAAAGCAGAAAGTAGTTTGTTCCGCAGATGATCAAGCCCACGTTTCTCTGCAACCTCTCTAACACCCTTGAGGAAGCAGCAGGCATCAAACTTGTGGGAAATCTTATGGTAAACTGCTTCAGCAGTAGTGGTTTTACCAATTCCTGGCATGCCCCAAATTCCCACCATCCGGACCTCAACTAACCCTGTAAGCAGTAGTAACTCCACTTCCTTTATGCGGGTCTCCATTCCAACAAGGCCTCCTAAAGACTTGTTCTGGTGTTCTCTGCCCAGCTTATTCAGAACATCAGCCACAATCTCATTAATAAGCGCTGGCTCGTCCCTGCGCGAGCAAAAATCAAACACCTACTCATTCATTCTTCACACAAAACAACACCCATTCAGGTGGGATCAATCAAAGATGATGCCGCGAGAATGAAATAGCCAATCTACGAACCTGTTACGCGAGTCCCAACCACTCAACTCAGCGGCCTTGTTGAGAGCAGCCTTCCAGCTCGCGAGCAATTCAGGATCTCGGGGGAAATCTTTCTCGTGTTTGGCGAACGAATCTGCGTAGCTATTCTTGATTTCGCTGACATCGGAAGGATCGATGCCGTAGAAGATAGGGAAGACGGCGTGATTACTAGTCTTGTTGTTATGGTCATCATCCGATTCCATAGACTCAATGATGGTCTGGAGCTCCTCCAAGCACCAGGGGGAGGAAGCGTAGTCCTCGGAGAAAACGACGATCGAAAACCTAGAGCGCTGGATTACCCGGAGAATCGAGGGCGATATGAGCTTGCCGCGCTCGAGCTTGAGATCGTCTTTGAAAGTGCTGATCCCTTTCTGCTGGAGAGCGTTGTAGAGGTGACTGATGAAGCCGTGCCGAGTGTCGGATCCTCTGAAACTGAGGAAGACGTCGTATGTCAGACGACCGGCCGGAATGGTGGAGGAGCCTTCTGCTTCGGCCATGGTCAAATTAGAAAGTGTGTTACTGCTTGCGGCGGAGGAGGAAGAGGAGGAGGAGGCGGAGGCTTCCCCGGCGGTGGACGAGTACATGGTTGGTTCTGGGACGCAATGCAAAGTCGATCGGAACTTGGAAGTTAATGGCTGTAGCTAGCGAGCTGCTGCCGGCTGATTTTTAGCAGTGGGGGGAGTGTGGCGGAGGGAGTAGGTAGACTCAAAAGTGTGAGCTCCTCTCCCGGGACAGGTGAAAGCGCGTGCTCTCCCACCATCACTCTGGAAATTAAAATATTGGAGGGAATTCCCAGCACTGCGTCATGCACGTGAATGGGCCTTCTATTGTTGGTACGATAAATCTGGACGTAGAAATTTAATCCAAAAAACTCATGAATGTAGAGATCCGGCCCAATCAATAATTTGGGCCCTGCAGCGTGCACGTAACGTTTGTACTCGAACAGTCGAACTAGAAATATAACCAAAGCTTGTGCCTAGATGGAATGAGGTGGCTCATGCCGCAAGGAATTGCTGCTCATCTCAATTTGGGAGATGATAGTATAATACTACATTAGGTATGGCAATTTTAACCAATCTGGTCAGGAAGTATACGATCTGATTTGTAATGAGTGGATATTACCCGATCCTCAATAGCATTGGAAGAGGTATGGATATCTACTTTCGATATGTTCGGCCTCATCTCGTTTTTTGTCTATTTTATCTCGATTTTTTATAATATCTTTCACCTATTTTGATTTTTCTCCAACTAATTAGATTTTATTTCACGCTAGTTAAACTCAATTACTCATTCTATTATCATCATTTCTCATTCATAAAGTGTTTTCTCTTCGATTTGTCATAAAAACTAAAATTTGGTGTGTTTTTTTTTCAAATTACATGTAAGAGTGGGTTGACCCATCCCGCCCCGTACCTAGGAGCGTAGTTAGTAAATACACCGTTTAATACATGTATATGTAGTCATACGTATTTTATCCGTTTAAAACTTTCTAATCCGTATATTCATTTGATGGTTCTTGTACTAAACACATATAAAATCCATAAAACACGTTTAATATCCATATTTAATAAATTAAATTGCTAACTTAACTAATATTTAAATATTAATTTATTTTGTAAAATAATTTATTTTTTATATTTTATAACTTTTACGTACTATTAAAGGTAACATTATTTTAGAGACAAAGTAAAATATCGATACGTATTTTATATGTAACTTACCCTTACTGTATTTTACTAGCTATGCCTGAAAGGGTATTACCAGACTCGAATCATTCTTGGTGCGGGGCGGGTATGGGTATTGAGATGCTCGCCCCCTACCCTACCCGTTTGCCATCACTAAATACACGAAGGTTTTATTATAGTGTTAAGATAAATAAAAGTTTTTTGAATTAATTTAAAGGAGCAAATAGGGTAAAAAATTGCTAATTATAAAATCCTTCTAAATGAAGACCTATATTTGTGGATTATTTTTTTTATAATGGTTGCAGTGACACCCTACCTTTCATACAAGTCCAATTGTAGTTCTCGAATAAGGTTACGAATATAATGAACATAAACTTCAATATGTTTCGCCTGATCATATAGTATGAGATTGGTTGTAATACGAATAGCACTCATGTTGTCGACATAGAGTTACAATGGAACAGGACACGTCATACCAAGATCTCCAAGAAGACCCCATAACCATTCCAACTTAGATGTAACATCTGACATTGGCTCGAATTCAATTCCATGGGTGTAGCAGCAGGAACGCACGAATCAAAACGAGTTGTCTCGAGTAAATCATGAATGTATTTGGTTTGACGGAGAAGAATAGCTTCGTAACCTCCAACCCCAAACAATATGACAATGATCCGAGATTCTTCAAATGAAAAGACTTATGAAGACCCGCCATAAGTTCCTTCAATTGTCAGTTGTTCTCCTTGGATAAGATTGGAGCGTACAACCTCAAATTCAGGTTTTAGCTTTGAAATAAATTGCATCAGCCCAATTATGTTTCTTTCACCTTGAATTTCCTTAGACACAGGACCAGTATAAGAAGGGAAGCCAATAGCATATCTTGCTATGTTCAGATCACCCTTATAAAAAAAACACTCAGAGATGTCGAACAGAGTTGTGGCACGCATAACCTAAGCGTGCATAACCCTGTACTTACGATTTACGAAAGGCTACTAACTTTCCCTAGTAAATTTTTGCGGGCTATATCATTTTTGTTTTAAACCAAAACAAAAGAAGTTGCACATAAAAATAAGATTAATTGGTCTCTTCAAAATGACATCCACTTTGATATATTTTGGAACATACCAACTAATACATCCACCATAAAACACTCATAAAAAATTATCAATCCGTTTAAGCGCGGGTGGATGTATTTTATGGTCAAAATCCACCCGACCCACCCAATGCCCACCCACATTTAGTCTCGGGTTGGGTCGGGCGGATGGTGGATGATGCGGGTGGGTTTGTGGGTTCACCCACATCACAATGTATATAATATAAAGGAGTCAACTTGACATGATAATAGGTGAAGAGAATCATCGAGGGAAACAAGAAGTTGAAATAGTGCGAAAAATGTCGAATTATTTCTTAAATTGGATAGAAATTCTATTATGAAAGAGTTTTCTACAGATTGAGACGATTATTAGGTGCAAGGAACTAAGGAAAATAATTCCACAAAGGAAAGAGCGGTGATCTAGGCACAAGAATTAGAGGAAAAAGTAAAGGGAAGAAGAGGTGATCTCTATTTGGAAGGTTGGCTTTGAGGTTCAAACTCCAGGAGCAGTCCGAGTTTATATCTAACGTCTCCACTCTCCTCTCTCTAGTGCCAACGACTTTGACCTTTTTGCTGTTGGGTTGAGCGGGTCACTCGCACACTCACCCACAACCCACCCACCACCCGGCGGATGGCTCCCAACGCAACCCGTCACCCACCCACAGACCCACCCACTTAACGAAATTCGGGTCAAATGCGGGTGGATCGGCCCAAATCCGCGGATGATCCGCCCGCATGCCCAGCCCTAGTTACCACCATGTACCAGGATGACATAGGATGGTACTTTTTGTCTTGGAAATTATTTCCCGGAAATTTGTAGATCTAATAAATCACAATGAACTCATTCCTTCTATACAAAAAAATTCAAAAATTGAGTTAAAAGCGAAGGTGGTACTAAGTGGTATAAAATTATATGTGTGGTATAAAATTCTTTTTGCTCTAAATATATTGAAAATGTATATCATTTTGAAGCTTACAACAAAATCGTTCAATTTATGTAAAATATTTTGAAATCCAAGTTAGAACAAAGAAAATAAAATCCGATTAAAAAAAATAGGAAAAGAATTCATTAATTCTCATCCCTTAAATCTAATCCACTTAAATCTAAGGGTCCAAATCTGATTATACAAGTGTACATTAACCAAGGTTATGCACCCTATCCTCAACCGCAAGCTTGCAACCCCTTATAGAGGTCAAAAAAATTCCGAACGAATGGGGATTCAAATCCCAAAACTACCAAACCAAAACCCTCTATCTTCTGACCATCTATGGTGGACAAAATATTATTTATTTTGCTATGCATACACTTTTACTTAAATTTATCATTCGCGAAAAGTAAATCTTGTCACTGCAGGTCAGAACTCTTTCCTATGCAGGGAAGTTGTAGTTGGTCACTACAGTCATCTCTAGTATCTCACAATACTAGATGGGGATTATCCAACTTCTAATCAAGGTGATTAAGCAAATTGAGAATGACTATGTTGACTTATTGTGGAACTCAGAGGAGGAAGGAAAGAAATCTATGGCAACATGTAGCTAGACAAAAAAAGGAGGGAGGGCTGGGGTTTAAGGGCTTGAAAAGTTGGAATTCAATCTGCCTTATCAGGCATTTGTGGGTAATATCATCAATTCATCAACCATGTGGGTAGGTTAGGCAATATCAACTAACCTATACTTCGATTTAGGATATCCCCTCTTCAATTCCCTTTTCTTGAGCATGGAGAAAAATGTTAAAAGACATGCAACTTGCAGAGGGGCATCTCACTGTCAAAGTCCTAGTGTATATTGGGAGACTTCGTTGGAGTTAGCTATTACACAATTCCGAGTCAACAATTCAGTTTTTGATCGTGGCAGGCTAATTTGGGTTACAGTAGTAAGCGAATTATGGAGGGCGAAGTGCAGAAGGATATACGCTGGTGAATATCTGGTTGGAGCTCATCTCTGAAAGAAGTTGCATACCCTGCTGTCATTAGTGAGAAATGGATACCCTCATATTTTCGTATTCATTTAAGAGGAAGAGATAAATATTATAGCTTAAAGTTGTTCTTGATTTGACAAGTGTACAGTTTGTATTCTCTTGTAGATAGTGCCTAAAGGAGGTCTGTAGTTGTGATGGATGTTGGTGCTATTTGATTACCAGTTAGAATGGTTTCTCATATCCATTCTTTCTTGACGAATAAACATGCTTATTCATCGAAAAATATAAAATCTTGTAGTTTCCTCCCTAAAACTTCAAATTTTCTCCTTCCAATGCAGCCTAGTAGAGCAGCGATATGTCGAGGTCTTATCCCTTCTCCTCCATCTTTGGCCTTCAGTTTGTCGGACCGCTATCAACAACCGCTCACCTCCCATAGTATTTGGCCATCGGTTCTCCAAACTCCTCCATCTTCAACTTCAACTCTTTCTTTTTATTTCGCGAGCAAGGTAGCAATAGTATAGAAACTGCTTCATTGGTGTGTTTCACATTGTCGGAGGTTAGGGTGATAACATCCAATTATTATCATGGTGCTAACACTGGCTTCATATAGGAACATTTCATTTCGATAACTTTTTTATTACCAAATTGTTGATCACAATTGATGCAGTTTTGTTAAGGGAGGGGCAGACTTGTCATAATTAAAAATTATAGGAGGAACACGCACGTAGCACTACTCATTTATTCTGCTTCCCTTGGCTCATCACAAGTATCATGAAGCATACCACAAAGCACAAACCATAACACAACAAAGAACAACGCAAATAACATAAAGCATAACAAAAAGCTTATAATCCTACTAGAACCTCACTACACCGCAAAAATTATAAAACATACAGGGAATTCAAAGCAGATCACAAGTTTCCTGAAGCATACCAGAAACCTCATAAAGCATACCACAAGTTTTCTAAAAAGATACCAGAAACCTTATAAAGCATACCACAAGTTCACTAAAGCACATTAGAAACCTCATAAAGTATACCAAAATTCCCTGAAGTAGATCATAAGT